CCCCCTCTCTCTCTCTCTCTCTCTCTCTCTCTCTCTCTGTGTGTCTCACGCACACACATGTGGGATTGAGGGGAAGGGGGAGGTATGCACAGGCAGACAGGTAATACATTTACACAAACGTACACAAACACACATATAGACATACACAACTCATATAAAAAGCATAGACCAGACCACAAAACAGTACGGGTACTTACACACAACAGCATTGATCAGAGGAAACAGTACGGGTACTTACATAGACCAGACCACAAAACAGTACCGGTACTTTAACAAAGATCCGAGGAAACAGTACGGGTACTTACATAGTCTTTGAACAGGAAGGAAATCAGTTGTGACAAGCCTATTGTCCACGTTTCCTGAAAAACACAGATTAAAAAAATACTTAGTTTAGTTTGTTTGAGGAAAGAGAAGCACATAGACACAATAATGGTCATTTAGTTTTGGGGGAAAGTTAGAATGGTAGAGAGAAGCAACAGACGGGAAAGTAAAGAAATAGGACCTACCAGTGGCACCCTTTAAAGACCCGCAAAAAGAAACCTTTCAATAATATACAGTCAATCATGATCATAAATAAAATTTAACCTCCAATTTTTTAAAATCATTTTATTTTTCTCTCCAAATGTCGTGACAGTAGAGATGAGCAGAAAATTATCCCCACACGCTCATCATTTTTTCACTTTAGTAGGAGTGAGAGAAGGAATGCAGAGGAAAACCCTTATCTTCTGTGACCCTGATAACCACATCAAACTGACAATGAACAGCTTAATACCCAGGACAGATATGGTGAGGGGTCATCAAAAACTGTGCTAGATATTTCCCTTCCAGAAATAGACAGAAAAGGGCGCCATAAGTTTAAAAAAAACACACCAAAAAAAGACCACGTAGAGATGTTTTTAATGTTTTAGTGACAATTTTACAGCACTTCCAACACAATAAGGTCATAAAAGTGCTGAAGCTTAGAGGTGTTACAAGAGTATAACAGACGTAAAAAAAAGAAGGAGGAGAGATAAAGACGATAGATGTTTGATAGGAAAGAAGGAGCAAACCACACAAGAGCACCC